GGGGGGGTCGTGGTAGTTTGAGGTGAGAAGTCAACTGCCGGTTAATAGACTTTTTTGCCGTATAAGTATACGTTGCCCCCAGGGGGCACCACGTGGAGGGAAGTCTATTGCGCACCCCTTATGCTCTTTTATCATCTCCTTTGTAATAGGCAGGACGTTATCTGCACTTGCGATTTGCTGCTCGCACTGGTGAGGCCATGGGGATGAATATGGTGAGCAAGGGCACCGAACGTGCTATCCGATGTCTCAATAACTACTTTCCCCGTATGCAAGTGAGTAGTAACTAACACATAAAATTTTATGGACTATTTGCCTACTTATTGCCTTTGAATTGGGCGAATGGTTGTAGAAATGTTATGGCCCTTTAGCCTTTTCATCTTACTTCCACGTTTTAGACTTCAATTCCTCAATTTTGCCATTGAGCATTGTTTAGCTCTTGGGAAATCTAAAAGAACCTCCTATTTTTACTCGATCAAGTTGATCTTTTCCTAGTAGAAATGAAGAATTAATGCAATTATCCTTTATCAACAAGAGTCCAAATTTCACTGGAAAGAGAACATCCACTAGAGACGTGGGCTTATTGTTGGGTGCCAAATCACTAACTCGATTTAGCCTTGAGAAATATGTAATTTTTGGTAAATAGTTGTGACAACATGAGTAAAAACACGAAGACTGCTTAAAGTGTCCATTTTATCTTACACCTAACGAAATTGTGTATGTCAAGTCTATCCTGAATTTTCATTTGAACCTTTTCGCGGAGCTATAAGAGGGGAAGGAACAACAAAGTGGAAAAAATCAAGAGTTGGGGGAGGGGGACATAAGAGTTTCAAAGACGACGGTAGAAAAAAGGTGAGGTGAGTACTATGGAAGTGGTGGAATATGACATACAGTGGGGTGATGGTAGTTCGAAGTGAGAAGTCAACTGCCGGTTTAGAGACTTTTTGCCGTATGAGTATGCGTTGACCATGGTGTACCACGTGGAGGTAAGTCTATCGCACACGCCGTTGTTAGAAAAGTTGTTTTAGCGTAACAACGAAGGATTGTATTTGGGTGATGCTAACTTCAAAGTCCATTTTCAGCATCCTTTCTGGTAAACTTGAGTTGGTCAAACTTAACCAAACCGAATAATCGTTCCATGCACCGAGTGTGGTTCAATGAATCGATTCCATGATGCTTGTCGTCCCAGACGAACACGATAACATCTGTAGCACCGGCGCGTAGAATTATGTACTATCTAAACTCTAAATTAGCTAATTTCGCAACATCATATACACCCTAGGATTCTATTTGGATCGTTGTAAAATAGGGCGTTCACTTAACTGGTAACTCTTGATTGTGTTTAGTGTCTGTTGGCTGGAATGTATATTTAACTTCTCCGCCTTTTTTTGCTATCAAGCGGCTTGTCTATCCTCAAGTCCAATTTCTTTCGCTCAGATAAATATTGACAATAACGGGGCCAAATCCTTGCTTGCATTATAAAAGATTGCTTCTCAGATTGGCAGTCTTGGTTTAGTGAAATCGAGAAAATTTTGTAAGGAGCATATACAGCCGTCACTTATTGCGTAATGGGCCTTAATCTAGATCCCACCAGTGGAGTACCGACATTTGAGAGATGCAGAGAGCTTTTGTGCCAAAATTTTACGCATGTTGAACTTTAGCCTCATAGCTTTGTAAGTTGGAAATACGACTTGTTATTGGAGTGAAACTCAATAGAAGTTTACTGTTGGAAGAAAAAATGGTTAATAGTTTATCCATAGTGGTATAGATCTTGTGCAAAACGTTGTGCTTAAATTGCAATTGGAATATTTATCTATTTATTTATTTATATCAAGTGGCAGGCGGTTTGATAGTTATCGCTGACCCTTTAGTTGACTTCAGGCTTCACAGAGGAGATAGAACATCAACGTGAAAAAAGTAGAGGGGCGTGGGAACAGAAGAGTGTTTCAAAGACGAAGGTAGAAAGAAGGTGAGATGAGTACTGTGAAAGTGGTGGAATATGACATACAGTGGGGTGATGGTAGTTTGAAGTGAGAAGTCAACTGCCGGTTTATAGACTATTTTTGCCGTATGAGTATACGTTGCCCATGGTGCACCGCTTGGAGGTAAGTCTATCGCACACCCCGCAATCGGAATATATGTTCTCAAGTTTAGCATATCCGATAATCACTAGTTAGTAAGCACTCAAGTGCGGCATTGAAGTCCACGTTCTAATGCTAATGAATGCTAATTTTGGTTTTAGTTGATATCATTGAGCGGCAATATGTGCACTGATAAGAAGTCCGCGACAATAAATCAAATAATGGGACGAGGCAAATCGGTACTGGNAGTTTAGACTACGTACCGGACACGATTGCTTGGCAAAACACCTTCACAGACTGGGAGTATACACTCAACCCACATGCCCTCTATGTAACCTACATGAGGAAATGGAGAAGACCCACCTGATTCGGTGTCCAGCTCTAAAGACAAGGACAGAAAGCCAAAGATACTGGGAAGCAAGAAGACTGCTAATGAACTGCTATTAATTAACTGCTATAAATGTACCCCCCCCCCCCACTCTGGGGGAAGCTGAAGTCAAAGATTAAGGGCTAATGATAAATATCATAAAGCCTGCCATTTGAAATAAATAAATAAATAAGGTCAGTCCCCAAATTTGTTCGGAAGTTTCTCACTAATTAATTCAGCATCATGTTCAGATATTACCCAACTTAGAAAATGCAAATTTTAAGATAGTTTAGAGCAAAATCAAACTAGTAAAATTCCCTGTGTTTGAACTTGTTTGCTTTAACATGACGAAGTTTGAGGATCTAATGAATAATTACAACCTCCTTTTTTTAATAGATAAAATAATCACTGGGCAAGATAAAATAATTGCTTTTAGCTAATATTATCTATGCAATTTAAGAGACCGTATTCAGTCAACCTATGTAAAAGGAGGAAAACACGAACCCTGAAATTACAATGGGAAACGCGAAGTAACAAGCGAAGTAATCTCAGACTGGATTGAGTTGACTACCATGCCAACTACTAGGACACCTGCCACATTCAAGCACTCAAGCATTCACTACCAACAAACTGATGGACAAATGGTGATGTAGCTCCCAATTTCATGCTATTCAAACAAGTGTGCCAATGATTTGTGTAAAGTCGACATTTTCCTGTTACCTTTTCTTCACCTTTCCAATGTTTGCTTGTACCTCCAGCTCAGCCATAACACAGTTTGTCTGCGACAAGTCCTTCAATTTCTAATCGGCTTATCATCTGTCAACTGTGAAATAAATCAAGATCCTCTCTAATATCACACATCCTCAGATATGTGTTCCGATGACGCTCGTACAAATATACAAAGAGATAGAAAATCGCCAGCAATAAACATGCATGCAATGTTACAGTTATTCGAGTTTGAATGCTAGCGCTTGTAAACTATGTATATATACATCAATCAAATTCATAGCCACACAAGATAAGCGTATTCCTTTCATGTGGAAATGGTTACACATTCAATTCCAAGATTACAACAGTTTATATAAAAAACGTAATATCATAACAAGATATTATATTTTCCTTGAGCATGCTTTGTCTAAATATTATCATTACAAGTAATTAAAAAAACCTTCTACGTCTATTTTATTCATTTATTACTGAAATTTTTTAACGACACCATTTTAGTGTGCTGATTTACGTAAATACAATTCGATGTATTTTCCCGGCTCCTGATATGACGGAACCTATTACGGGACTGGGATTTGTGGCTTCACTTTCTCGGGTTATAGGGCAGTATGTTCCAGTAAGACCTAAAAACTGTTTATTTAATACTGCTTAGTTATATGGGAGTTTCTATCGACTTTTTTGGTTAGGTTAAAAGGACAAAAGATACCAATGAAGACGCTGACTTGGGCAAGGAAAATTTATTTCGCAGATCATCCAGATATTTGGTTTTGGAAAGGAGAACTTGCAGTTCTACACATCCGCATGATGTCATTGTTGAAATTCGCTTAGTTAGCTCTAAAGAACATGTTCCCTCAGATTTTACATTGGTTGAACGGACTCTAGATAGCAGTAGGTTTCGACCGAAAAATGCAAATTTTCTTTATTATTTATTTTAGTGGAAAGGTGCTTTAAAGGGAAGTATATTTGTGTAAAGTTCGAGGCTTGGAGGCCAAATATGACTGCTATAACTGATGTGGCTATTTTCAAAAGTACCGAAGGACTTTCTGGCCATACAACTGTCGGGTATATTTCTCTATTTTACTAATATACGATTATGCATTTTCTTTATTGTGGTACTGTGGTTTACTTTTTTAGTGAGATTTCGGACCAACGGTATTTAGCATACGTTCAGTCAGCACTCGGTTCTTCTTCTTCTAAGAAAAAGGCACCTGAACGCCCTGTTGAGACCCCTCGAAAACCGGTCGTTTATTGTCGTAAGTATTTCTCAATTTCACCCAACGCTATGAGTGTTCGAGTGTGTGTTTTATGATAAAGCTCCTGGTGTATTTTCATTGAAAATTAATTTCGCTCGTTACTTTTTAAATAACGATGCAGAGTTCACTTGGTAAAGGCATTCAATTATGTAATGTCTATAAATTCAATTTGGAAAAAATTGATGGAATCATTCTAAGAATGGAATGATTATTCTCTGTAATTATTTCTGTTTTGGATTTTTTAAATTTGTAAATATGTGGGGTCTGAATTCTTCTGGATTTGTGTCCAATCGTCGAGACTTAATGGGTGAATGAGCATCGCTTTAGATTGTCTTAATGTGGTTGTTTTTTTAATTTTATCCTATCTATTCTTTCATTCTAAATGCCAAATAGCATCAAATTATTGTCGTCCTTTTGTCACAAATTTTTTGACATATTTACCGAATAACCTTTCCCCGTTATGATTCATTTATTGTGTATTATATTTATCGTTGATATCTTTTTTTACCTTCTGTTTTTCTCTCTGTTGTGCTCATATTAACTTATGTTTAGATTTAGTTTATCTCGGATAATTAATATACCGTTGTGGTATCTGCTAATTTGAAGCAAAATTATCTCATCTGGTTGATCGTATGTGTAATCTATACTGGGTTTGAGGGTACTCAGAACGTGATTAACTTACAACCCACGGGATGGCAAGTAGCAATCAAATTAAATTTCGGTTCCTTTTCGAAGTTTATTTATTTGAAGTTCCCTACTGGGGGTTTTTTCATGCTTCATTTTCTGGTTGTCCCTTAGTTACAGTTCACTTTTCTGATCAGTTAGGCCTGCTTATGGTGTTTCGTACCCTTAAAACTACGAGCATGATGTGTAGTTATGCTTTTAGTTCATTAATATTTATTTATATAAAATGACAGGCGTCTTGATGGTTATCATTAGCCCTTTAGTTGACTTCAGACTTCACAGAGGGGAAGGAACATCAAATTGAAAAAGTCGAGAGGGGGGGGGGGACAGAAGAGTGTTTCAAAGATGTAAGAGACAAACACAAAGGTAGAAAAAAGGTAAGAAGAGAACTGTGGAAATAGTCGAATATGGCATAGAGTGAGGCGGTAGTAGTTTGAAGTGAGAAGTCAACTGCCAGTTAATAGACTTTTTGCCGTATGAATATACGTTGCCCAGGGTGCACCACGTGGAGGTAAGTCTATCCCACACCCCTAGTTCATTAATATAGTTATATTAATAATAATTTATAAGAAATTGTTTGTTACTTACTTTTTTCTTTGTTAACTATTTCACAGTAGTATTTGCCTTGCCTATTTTAGGGTTGAATTTGTTCCCAAGCTAATGATGGGCTATCATTCAATCACAGAGTAAACGCTGTGAATGCAATTAATTTTAACAATGTGGAAAAATCTTCTGGTTTTCTAGAATTAGTTGTGCTCACAACCTCAATAAAAGCCTTTTTTCTTTATGCATATGACCCATGACAATTGATGCAACGTGCGTTCTTAGTAGTGAGTCCTGTGTTAATACTCCGTGCACTAATCCATTTACTGGGATTTTCCGAAAATTCGCCCAGGGAGGTAAAAAGGAAAGTTGAATTTCATGAAACCATTTTTTTGGATCCGGGGTGTGCGATAGACTTACTTCCAAGTGGTGCAACCTGGGCTACGTATACCCATACGGCAAAAAGTCTATTAACCGGCATTTGACTTCTGACTCCAGACTATCATCACCTCACTGTATGCCATAGTCAACTACTTTCACAGTACTCACCTCACCTTTTTTCTACCTCTGTGACTGCCTCTTTAACATCTATGAATCACCCTTCTGTTCTCTCGAATTTTTCTCACTTTGATGTTCCTCCCCTCTGTGAAGCCCAAAGTCAGCTAAGGGGCTAATGACTACTATCACAACACGTGCCATTTGAAATAAATAAATAAATAATTTTTTTATCCAAATAACCGCCCCAGTACTTATGACTCTGCCTTTCGACTTGTCCATCTTTGTTGGCTTAAAATAAAACTAAGTTATNGTGCTTAAATTGCAATTGGAATATTTATCTATTTATTTATTTATATCAAGTGGCAGGCGGTTTGATAGTTATCGCTGACCCTTTAGTTGACTTCAGGCTTCACAGAGGAGATAGAACATCAACGTGAAAAAAGTAGAGGGGCGTGGGAACAGAAGAGTGTTTCAAAGACGAAGGTAGAAAGAAGGTGAGATGAGTACTGTGAAAGTGGTGGAATATGACATACAGTGGGGTGATGGTAGTTTGAAGTGAGAAGTCAACTGCCGGTTTATAGACTATTTTTGCCGTATGAGTATACGTTGCCCATGGTGCACCGCTTGGAGGTAAGTCTATCGCACACCCCGCAATCGGAATATATGTTCTCAAGTTTAGCATATCCGATAATCACTAGTTAGTAAGCACTCAAGTGCGGCATTGAAGTCCACGTTCTAATGCTAATGAATGCTAATTTTGGTTTTAGTTGATATCATTGAGCGGCAATATGTGCACTGATAAGAAGTCCGCGACAATAAATCAAATAATGGGACGAGGCAAATCGGTACTGGCCGAGGCACGTATACCCGGTCGAGTGGTGACTAAAATTCTACACACCGACGCCAAACAACTGGCCCGCCTAACTCAAATAAAAAATGGAACCGGTTCGGCTATGGCTGGTTCCCCAGGAATGGGCAGTTCCAATGCTCATGCGGCCAATTTGGTGGCAGCGGTGTTTGCTGCTACTGGACAGGATCTCGCTCAAGTGAGTTGGGAAAATCGTTTTTTCCCCTGATCCGATTATATGTTTGTTTCGACTTGGTGGGATGGCTACCCCCCCCCCCCCCCCCCCCCCCCCCCCTCCCCTCCTCCTCCATTTACTTCCAAAGTTACGAGTTAGTGGTTGTATACGTCTGTTGGAGTAATATCAGATGAGATCGGTTGTCTGAGGCGTATTTTTGCCACCAAATTTTAAGTGATGGGTGGTCTTAATTAAGTGGTCAATTTGATACCCACTTTGCCAGTGCCAATTTGAGCACTTTACATTTAAGCACGCACACAAATATGTGAACTTTTTGTAAAAGTCATTACTATTTTACTTTTTAACTCCTATTAGTTTATATCATAGTTATCTCTTATTGTAAGGAAGATATTTGTTTAAATTATGTGCCTGGCTTTTAATGGGAAAGTTTCGCTATCGTACCAGTTTATGTCATGATGCAGTCAACCGTCATTCAATCGATTAGTCCCTTGTTTGACTATTCATGCTCTGCCTTAGCGAACAAGAATCTCACTATATGGTGTTGATTGACTCGACTTTCGACGTATTTTAAAGATGTGAATTATTTTCAAAATAAGTGCCTTGGAAAGAAAACACTTCTGTCTCCTCTTTGGCTTTTCGATTGGGAGTCAACTGTAGCCTAAAATATTTGTTTGGTACTTTGATAATTGCCGTGAGAACAATTTGGACTTGCGTATTTTTCTGTGCCACCTGTTTCCTCTTCGTCTTTTATCTCGTAGAGTAGCCTTGGAATTGGTTCTTATAAGGAAATCTTATTGGCGAATGTGCCATACCAACTAGAAGGTAGTTTCATTTATCCCCTCCTGCATAATTTCAGGAGAATGCGTCGACTGGGGAATTGTCGTGTAGGCAACTGTTTACGCTACTGGTTATGTAATGATTCAACGGCTTCCAGTGGATGGCGGCCTTGTCTTAGTCACCAATATAGTCCACTTGCACGAATGGATTTCAAATTCAACCCTGTTTCACAATCGCCTCTAGTACCAATCTTATTGGGTCCTGTCCACTTATAATATCCGCGAAGTTGTATGCTTAATTTGGGTTGAAGGTTTATTATTGTTGTGCAGATTTGTGTCTGCTAACTAATAGGAAAACTGTTATTGGA